GATCGTCTGTAAGGTCCCGTCCAACCTCAAAGAGCCCATAATTTTCTGATCGTTTCCTGATTTTACCCCTCTGGCGATATACAGACATGGACAGAGGAGTCCTGAGTTATTCTAAGGTGTCTGCCCAACCTTTCACCTGCTGTGACATTGTTGAGGCCTTTTTGGGAACAGCGCTCGGCCAAATTGCTAAAGGGCTGGTCACAAAAGGAGGGGAAAGGCCACGCGGGTTAGCAAGAACAGATTCCCACGCAAATCTGGCTGCAAAAGCCTCAACTTCCTCATCTGCTCTAACCCTGGTTGACATTAATGCCTGGAAAAATGTGACAATATTGACTTAACGGGGAGGAAAAACATCCGTCAGCTTATTCTGCCGCCGGGGAGCCTCACCTGGAAGCGGACTTACCAAATACGCCACAAAGCACAGGTAAACCACGCTGAGAATCGCCGCCCCAATGTACAAAGCCATGTTGTTCAGGTCCAGGACGTAGCTCACCACAAAGTACATGTTAATGCAGCAGATGAGGAGGATGAGCACGCCACCGGCGATCTTCCAGAACCTGTGAGCCGAAGCAGAGCGACGCTGGCGGTGAGGCAGAGTTTTTAGCCCCTCCGAGGCCAGGAAAGGAGCAAAAACACGCACTCGAGGCGAGCAGCGCGTCGTCCCCTGCTCGACGAGCGACCCCCCTCTCTTCATACTTACAGCCCGTTGGCGAAATCGTTCATGATGCTGGGCAGGCTGGTGAACGTCAGGACAGGGATCAAAGCAAACGGAAGCTGGAATGCGTAAGAATGCAGAAGAATAAAGAGTGGAAATTGTTCAGCAAGGACAAACACCCCCGGTTTGCTCATATCTGACACCATTTCCCCAGAACTACTGTAATATGAGTCGAAGGGACTTCCCCCAGCTGGAAGAAGGAAGCAATTTCAGAGCCTGGCTGATCCTCTCCTGACAACAACTCGCTCTGTTTGGCTGCTCCTGCACACCCAGAAGCTGAAATATTCAGCGCTGGATGCTTCTCTCTGAAAGCTGACCCCCAAACCTGGCACTGCCGCTCACCTGGAGGCTCATGAGAACATTTAAGAAGTCGTTCATGCCCGTCAGGTGCTCAACGTCCTGAAAGATGGAGACGAAGAGGGTGGGGGTGATGGCGATGGAGCGGGTCAGCAGCACGCGGGCGAACCGGGACCAGCGCAGGTTCAGGAAACCCTGCAGGAAAAACCAAAACAAAACAGAGCAGCTGCTTGGGGAAGCCAGGAAGAAGCTGTGAAGGGAGAGATGGGATTAAAAGCTGGTTTGGTTGAAAGGCACATCGCGGAGTTTGATGGAGCTTCCAGCAAGAGCTGCCTGTCCGAGGAAAGGGAATTAAAAGCTTGGGAGCAGAGGGAAGAGGGATGAGGGCTAATTACCTCCATAACGAACTGCCCTGAGTACGTCCCTGTCATCGTCGAGCTCTGGCCGGCAGCGAGGATCCCGATTGCCCAGATGTAGAGAGCGGCGGGGCCGAAGTAACAGCCCAGAACAACGCCCTGGAAGAGAGACCCGCAGAGGCTCGTGTCTGTTCAGCCCCGCGCTCGAGAGCCTTGTGACCCCGTTAACTGCGGGTGGTGAGTTGAAAGAAGGAGCAACTCACTCAGAACTCCAGCCACGGAGAAGACAATGCTGTGGGGGGCTGCGGTTTTAGCAAAGCAGACTCAGGACGGATGCAAGGAAAAACTTTGTTCAAGCTCATAAAAGAGGGGCACAGATAACCGCGGAGTCTAGAGGGTCAGGTCAGACGCAGCACGATCAGCGAGGTGCAGATAACTGTGTTTGCTCAAAGGGCTGGGCTCGAGGATCATGCCCAGGGATTTCCTCCAGCTCTGATTTCAGTGCTGCTTTTATGGGTGCCGGCCTTCGACTGCGCCCCATTTACCCAAAGGAAGCCACCACCCCCAGAAAAGGACGCCGGAGCTGAGGCTGTCGTCACTCACCCCTTTGTAGATATCCACCTCCAGTGTCTGGTTGTTGTTCGGGAAGAGCGAGGAGTGCGGGCTGCTCTTGTTCACGCAGACGTCGCTCTGCAAATGGCACCGAAGGGGCAGGAGGTTGGGTTATAGAACCATAGAACAGTTTCTGCTGGAAGAGATCTTCAAGATCGAGTCCCACCTTTTCCTAACGCTATGAACACCACTAACCCATGTCCTTCAAGGCAACATCCACCCGTCTCTTAAACATCTCCAGGGACGGTGACTCAGCCACCTCCCTGGGCAGGCTGTTCCAATGGCTGACAATCTTTTTAGTAA